ACTATCATCAGCATATGGCATAAAAGACAGGCTTTTGTTCTAGAAGCAATGTTTTGCATTATGCTTGTTGACTCAATGATAAGAAAAGGAGATATTTTTGCTTAGCTTTGTAGTTCGCTGTAGCGACAGTGGTAATATGTACCATGAAAGTGACGGATTGAGCGAAGCAGTCTTGAGAAAAACACCCAAAATCACTTGTGGCACATTTGGCGTAATTTAAATGTTAGTAGAAGTATGGGGATGAAGTTCGATGTTTACTGGTTAAGATATTTAATAAGAGATGAAGGAGGAAAGTTTCCAGAATTGTTTCTGCCTCCAGAAAAGAATTTTGTTCTAGACATCAGTACGGTCGCTACTGAAGCGCTGTGACTTTTGGAAAATACGCGGGATTTCTTACAGTTTTCCTTACTGTACGTTATAGAGGTTGTTTCAGCGTGGCCCATACTTTCGAATATGATAATGCCTCTTTATCTCCGGTAACGAAATTGGAAGACTGCCTTCTCTTGCTCTAGACAGTGCTACCGTAGGCCGCTGTAAATCCCGAAAAAATCCTAAATTTTGTTAGTGCGATTTTATCCGGATTGTTATGATGATGCTAAAATCAAACTTGTATTATCGATATCAGTTTATGTTAAAGGCGTTTGCTTGCATGTCTTTCTCTTGTATACTCTTTACCGAAGGACTGTAGGAGCAGAGTATAACAGCTTGAGCATCCGGAACCTTTTCTTTGATATATTGGTTATACGTGAGTGCCACGTTATTGTGCAATTCATTTGTGCAACTTTTCGTCCCTGGTAAATGTTCCGTTTGTTTAGTTTAGAGGAAACGGATCGGTGTATCACAGATCGGTGCTATTAGACCTAATTGTGTCGACAATAATTGTGTCGACGTTCTTCTCAATGCTGGCTGCAATATGGATTCTAGTTGCCCATTGTTTATGAAGGTCGGCGGTGCTTACAATAGTCTCGTATGGCTCCGGAATACTTTGGATAAACAATTACGTTTCACCTGCCTATGAGCCATCAGCTTGTGTATCGCTCCCTCATGTCTCGAAAAAATAGTTTTTTTCGCCTTTGCACCTGATAATTGCTTATGGTCCCCTGTGATCAATACTTTTTTGATGTTCGGGAGTGAAGCGGCCAGATCGAATATAAACGTTTCTGAAAACATTCCTCCTTCATCTATTACTGAACTTTTTAGCGAGTTGACATTGAACTCCTGATCCCATACTTCTATTAAGATTTATTATGCCCGATGAGTCACAAATGATTTTGGGTGTTTTTATCAAGACTGCTTCCTTGAATGCATCGGCCTCATGGTACATTTTACCATCATGTAGCAATCTGCTGCTACGTGTCTTCTAGTAGAACCTGTGTCTGTCTCAGGTTGTATCTTCTTGAATGTAGATTTGTAGAATTTTCAGAATTCTAGATTACTGCCACTGGTGCAAACCTAAAGGCTTAGAAACTAGTCAATTATTTGACGACTGTAAGAAAACAAGATTGCCATTTGTTAACTGACTACTAATAAGAACTTTCTCAGCGATTTCTTGGACGGCCAGATATGTTGGTAAGCTAATTAGAATTACACCTTTATCATTCTCTAGTGATTTTGTAACATATATAGAAATAATAAATTTTTTTCCTGTCCCAGCAGGTGCCTGGATGTCGCCCACTAGGATCCTCAAGCGTGGCTGGGACGTGTGCTTATTCCGCTGCCATTTTTATTAGTTTATTTTTTATTTCGATCTTATATCACTAGCATCTTTCTCATCTTTTAGAATTTTGAAGAGCATTGTTTGTTGTAACTGCGGAGTTCATCGGTAATTTCCACTAAAAACTTCAACATGTATTTGCGTCTCAAACATCTTTCGTTTCGTAGTGCGGTAGTAACCCGTCTAGTAGGAGAATCTCTTGTAATTTTCTTATATCCTAAGCTGTCCATATCCCGGTGTAATATAATACCGCTTGCGTCATTACCAAATTTTAAAGTTAGTGCTTGATTGGTTGCCACCTAGAATTGGTCATTAGCCGTCGTATTTTCCAGCCATATACCATCATATTCATCGACCTTTATCTTTTTGATGACCATTTTGATTTCGCTTTGATAGAGACAAGCTCTAGTGTAGTGAGTCTTGATCCTCATGGTCATCCCTATCTCTCAAAATTTAAGCCTCGCTGCGAAGGCACATTCGTTGTTCCGATCCTTTGCGTAGTAGACAATATAGAGTAACAAACTAACATCCGTGTTATTATAGGTAATCCACCTCGTCCTGACTTTTACGTCTTGTGACTGTGCTCTGCTTGACCAGAAGGTTTGCTTTCCACTCCGTAAACCGCCAATGTATTTAACAAGTCTTCATAATTATTGGCATCTACCAAAAGGTCTTTATTTATAACCTTTAATCTCCATGGGACTAAGCCGAACTCGGCATTAATTTTAGCCTCTTGAACACATCGTACTCATACTCGGTGCTCCCCTAATTAAGGTCCAGTGGTCTCCATTTCTTTAAATCCGTGAAGGTATTAGGTAATATTACCTTACTTATTGGTTTTGCCAAAGCACTCATATTCCGTACGTCCTTGTTCAAGTTCCACTACTTCTGACTGGACTATATCTGTCACTAAAAGAAGCGAGAAGGTTAGGAGTTCAGGGACCAACTGGACTGCAAACAATGTGATAAAAATGGTCAATGGGAAATTGAGAGTTCGGGAATTAAGTGGGCCGTAAATAATGTAGTAAAAAGGATTTGAAGCCATAAATGAAGATTAGTTACAGGAAGGGAGAAGAAGCACGTAATCTGTGATCAGCTAACGGTTGTAGAATATTTGAAGTTCTCCGAAGAAGTACTATAAACGACTAATGACTACATTATGGTACCAAGTGGTTAAGGCGTTGAATTTAAGCTGCAGTGGACTGGCAACCGTTTGGGTTCAAACCCCGCTTGGTGCAGCACCTTTCAAGGTCTTCTTCGAAAATTTATGCTTCCGAGCGATTCTTCGAACGAGAAAACAAGAATTTCATTTCAGTTATTAGTATCCTGCATGTAAGCATCACCGTTAAGGGGGACATTCGCGGTGATGGCTTAGTAGCTGGGCCGTTAGACATGTGTTGTAGTGGCCAGATGTGGATTCAAAGAAGAACTGATGGGTTGGGATTTAAGAGGCAGCCGAGAACGGTTCAGGAGCAGGACGAGTGGAGGCGACTGTGAGCGGCCTTTGCAGTTGATGTCTGGAACCGTTGAATAATGCAATTTTCTTTCTTAGTAGTTAGGTTTTTTTTT